TAACCTAGAAAGGGGACATCAAATTCTCCATAGCCTTTAAAGAGCCAGTAAACAGAGAAGAAATGTTGCGTGCTGAGGGAAATTATGGTTCAAGCTAGAGTTGTATACTTGGCTACAATTTTCTCAACAGATGATATGGTTTGGCTATGGCCCCACTCAAATCTCGTCTTAAATGATAGCTCCCATAATCCCCACATATCACGGAAGGGATCCTGTGGGAGGTAATTGCATCATGGGGATAGGTTTTTCCTGTGCTGTTTTTGTGACAGTAAGTCTCGGGAGATCTGGCTGGGTGCAGTGGCTCACACCTATAATCCTAGCACTTTGGGAGGCCGAGGTGAGTGGGTCACTTGAGAGTTCAAGACCAGCCTGGCCAACATGGTGAAACCTTGTGTCTACCAAAAAATACAAAAATTAGTCAGGCATGGTGGCGTGCATCTATAATCCCAGCTACTCATGAGCCTGAGGCAGGAGACTGGCTTGAATCCGGAAGGTGGAGGCTGCAGTGAGCCAAGACTGTGCCATTGAACTCCAGCCTGGGCAACAGAACAAAACTCTGTTTAAAAAGAAAAGGAAAAAAAGAGTCTCACAAGATCTGATGGTTTTATAAAGGGCAGTTTCCCTGCACACACTCTTCCGCCTGCTGTCATGTAAAATGTGCTTTTGCTCCTCCTTTTCCTTCTGCCATGATTGTGAGGCCTCCCAGCCATGGGAAACTGTGAATCATTAAACCTCTTTTTCTTTATAAATTATCCAGTCATGGGTATTTCTTCATAGCAGTGTGAAAATGGGCTAACACAATAGTTAAGCATACAATTAGGTATTTTCAGAAGTAAACCCACTGAGAGACTTGATTACCAACAGGAGCTTCTTCAGAGTAAATTACAGGGGCATAAAAATATGTTCGACAGAATGAATCAGATCTAGTATTTGATAGCACAACATGGTGACTGCAGTTCACAATAATTTATCATACATTTTTAGATAGCTAAAAGAGTATAATTGGATTTTTTGTAACACAAAGAAGAATGCTTGAGGTGATGGATATGCCATTTACCCTGATGTGATCAGTATACACTGAATTCCTGTATCAAACTATTTCATGTACCCCATAAATATATACACCTACTATGTATCACAAAAATTAAAAATAAAAAAAATTTTTAAATAAAAAATTCACCAAAAACAAAAAAGTAAACTACAAGAAGAAAGGAAAGATTTCCTATATGAAGGGCTAAGAATCAAAGTGAAAGAATTGCAGACATGGTATGGGAAATTAAATCATGGTGGATGAGAGGTGAGTCACAACCACAGTATAAAGCATTACATTTAGGCAGATATCTGCAATGTGAAAACTGGAATTAGGACAAAAAGGGTCCTCTATTCTACATGTGTGCTGATTAGCATCAGCTGAGAGCCCTCCACCCTGACATTATCCTCCCTAAATACACGAAATGTAGACTTTTAGCACAAATTTTTAAAAACTTTTTCTAATGTTCAGAGACAGTGTTTCCACTGTTCACATTTCACGATGTTTTGATGGTCTTGTGAGTGGTAAGAGCAATAATTATCATTATCATTCTTTTCTTTTTGTTTTCAACCTAACCTAAGTCAATTCGCTCTGCCTTCTATTTTCTTTTTTAATATAGACACCACAAGACACCATCTCAACTGAATTCACACATTATTGTAAATTTCAAAAAAAAAATTAAATTAAATTAAAAATTTTTTTAAAGCCACTGCTCTCACCTTAATCAGAATGAATGTGAATCCACAATACAACAAACAAACGTTTCTTCCTTAGATCCCAGGAATACAAATTAACAAACTGCTATGACAAGACTATTATTCTGCTAGACAGAGGTGAAGAAAGTCTAAAAGAGGCAAGGAATGATACCACCTCAACCCTCGCTGTTTTCTCAATTAAAAATCCTTTTTCTCCTCCAGATCTCTGCTCCTGCCTCACTTCAGGCTTCCCTGAGAATTGTCCCTTTCTCATAGAATGGCCAGAGTCAAGCGATAATCCAATGCCTTGCCGCACAAGTAGCTTTCATGGGCAGCCTGAGTGTCCCAGCTCACAGACAGGCAGCAAAACTGTGAAAAGACTATGCAGCTCCTGCCTCTGAAGTGGGCTGAAAAATAGATTGTGAACCTAAATGTGCGTCAACAGATGAAGGAACAAAGAAAGTTTGTATTACACACAATGGAGTACTATTTGGCCACAAAACATGAAATCCTGTCATTTGTGGCAACACGGATGATGTTAAGTGAAATAAAGCAGATACAGAAAGATAAATATTACTGTTCTTACTCATATGTGGAAACTTAAAAATGTGGATCTTGGCCCGGTGCTGTGGCTCACATCTGTAATCCCAGCACTATGGGAGGCCGAAGTGGGCAGATCACAAGGTCGAGAGATGGAGGCCATCCTGACTAGCATGGTGAATCCTTGTCTCTACTAAAAATACAAAAATTAGCTGGGCTTAGTGGCGCGCGCCTGTAGTCCCAGATGCTTGGGTGCCTGAGGCAGGAGAATTGCTTCATCCTAGGAGGCGGAGGTTGCTGTGAGCGGATATTGCGCCACTGCACTCCAGCCTGGCGACAGAGCAGGACTCTGTCTCCAAACAAACAAACAAAAAACCTGTGAGTCTCATTGAAGTAGAGAGCAGAATTGTGTTCATCAGAGACTGGGAAGGGTAAGCGGGAGGGGAAGATAAGGAGAGGTGGGTTAACAAATGCAAAATCACAGCTAGATAGGAGGAACATGGTCTAGTATTCCATAGCTCTATAGGGTGACTGAAATTAACTATCATTTATTGTATGTTTTCTTTTCTTTTTTTTTGTTTGTTTGTTTGAAACAGATTCTTGCTCTATCAGCAAGGCTGGAGCGCAGCGGTGGAATCTCAGCTCACTGCAACCTCCGCCTCCCAGGTTCAAGTGATTTTCCTGACTCAGCCTCCCAAGTAGCTGGGATTACAGCCACCCAGCCTGGCTAATTTTTTGTATTTAGTAGAGACAGGGTTTCACCTTATTGACCAGGCTGGTCTCAAACTTCTGACCTCGTGGTGATCCACCCACCTCAGCCTCCCAAAATGCTGGGATTACAGGTGTGAGCCACCCGCATCCAGCCTATTGTGTATTTTCAATCAGCTACAAAGAGGATTTTGAATGTTCCCAACACAAAGAAATGATAAATGTTTGAAGTGATGGATATGCTAATTACTCTGATTTGATGGCTACACTTTCTATATGTGTATTGAACTATCACACTGTATACCATAAATATGTGCAATTATTATTTGTGAATTAAAAATAATAATTTTTTAAAAGAAATGTATTATCAACCAGAGCAGGATTCCATAGCAGGCACAACCCTAATATTTGCAGGTCCTAGGGCAAGAAGGCAAATGAAGGCTACTGTGTCATGTCATTTGTCTGCATACTTAAATGTTATTAATCAAGCTAATAAAATGAGTACATAAAATATATCCACCCTCATTTATGAGATAGCCCTTCATAATGACCTGAAAGGTCAGTTTTGAATTTATAATTATCTGATTCCTCAGAACTCCATGCCCAGCCCACAGCTCACCTCTCTTTTCAGCCATCCCCAACTCTGCTCACAGACCCTGCAAACAGGAGCATCCCTTGATGCCTCTCCTGCCTCGGGGTCTGCACCCAATTAGCCCAACCCCCCAGGAATGGACATTGAGGAAAGGCCCCTGTAGCTCCTTGAAGCAGGCACAAGGTTTCCCTGGGCAGGCAATCCCAGAACCCAGCTACTCAAAGCGTGGCTCAGAAAGGGAGGAGGACAGGCAAAGGCTCTTCATGGGCATATTCCCCTTGCCCCCAGCAACTCCTCACCCCATGGGGAGGGACTTAGCCAGAAGAAGGCCAGAGTCAGACCAAGATCAGAGGAGGGGCCCCTCTTTCAGAGTCTAAGAGCAGAAATATTGAGCTGAGAACAGAGTCTTCCTGGATGGGAGTGAACTCCTTCTGTCTGTCTCTGTGCCATGCACCATGCTTTACAGAACACTCTCAGCCCCTGGCCTCACAGCAGAGGACACAGTTCAGGGATAAACAACTGTGTTGGTTAAACGAGGCCCAGAGAATAGAACTTGGGATAATAAAGCCTGGGAAGACACCCGGATTCCCTAGATTCTCAATCAAAATTCTTAAATATTCCCCACGAGTGAGTCTTCTCCCAGGCTGAAGTACCAGTTGAAATGAGACAGGCTTCTGTCTCCCTCAGAGTCTAACACAGTTAGAAGGCACACAGCTCATATTCCACAAATCCTTGAGTAAATCAATGAACAATAGCAGCTGATGGCATTTGTTGAGTGCTTACCTTTGCACTATTATCTAATTTCATCCTTACCTCAATTCTGAAATAGATTCTACTATTGCTCTAATTTACAGACAAGGAAGATGAAGTTCTGAGAGGTTTATAAGCAAAGTCTGCCAGTAGTAAGTGGCAGAGCTGAGACGAATATGAATGAATGAACCAATAAAAGAATGGAAAAAAATGAATAATGAACAAATTCATACATAAATAAGTAAATCATGTGCTTTATCTTTTTTTAATACTTAGACACCTTCTGATCCCTGGGACTAGGGCTTTTGAGCACCAGAAGGTGTGTCAGCTGGTTTCCCTAGAACCCCAAGGATTTGGGTTCTATTAAGCCCCATCTACCCTCAGCCCATTCACTCTCAAGATGGACCAGCTGTCCCAGCACAAGGATTCTCCCACTCTCTAGGCATCTGCTATGCCTTTAAATCTCTCAGCTCCCACCATGTTCTCCCCAGTCCATTCCAGACTCAATAGCCTCTCCTGCCACTGGTAGATGGGAAACTGTCTTTGAGACTGTAACGATCACACCATTGCTATGACCCAGCCCTAGGGACTTCTCTCTATTATCTCTTTGCCTCCCCACCCCGCCATCCCCCCACCCTCAACCCATCTGGGGCATCATTCCTTATGATTGATAGACACAAGAAAAAAAATTGTGAGTTTTAATGCAATGTGGACCCTAAGCTTCCTGAAACAAAGCCATTTCTATCCATGATTTTTATTTCTCTTCGTTTGCGGAGCTGTTGTGGGTATCTGAGGAGTGGTCCAGCCAAGGGTTCCATGAATTGTTACTGGTTCGATTGTTAAATAGCGACTAGGGACACAGCACCGCTTACGATTTCGGCAGCGTATGATGCTGTCTTCATCATCTCTGCACAGCAACCGGCAGTGTCCATCCATCCAACACTCTACTTCAGGGCATACGAACAACAGTTAAGCAGATGTTAGTATCACGCAAGTGGAGGGAAAACAGAAGGCAGAGGAGGAACAGGAGGACAGGGAAGAAGAGAAGAAAGCCAGCTGAGTGAGTAATGCTAGACCCAGTTCCAGGAAAAGAGAGAAGAGTCCTTGAGAGGGAAGAGAACTGAGACAATGGTTCCAACTGAGAACTCTAAAGTTTTTGGGAGAGCCTTTTTCAGCCTTCTGTCTTCCTATCCCCAACTTCTTACTCCTTACTTTGGAATCAACTAAAGCTAATTAATGCCCCACCTTGCAGAGCTAGGAATGAGGGAAAAGGACATGATCACCTCTAATATTAGGCAACGAAGAGGATTCACTCATGTTACACAGACCCGATTTTTTATCCACAGCCTGACCCTGTTTAACATAAACCTAACAAGCCCTGGCTCCAGCTGCAACCCAATCTCCAATCTTCCTGATTAACCCAATTCAAACTCAAACTCATTCAGGCCTACCTTAATTAGAATTCCCAGCCTTACTCAACTCAATGCCCCCAGGCCCCAACTCCAAGCCAAACCCTAGTCTAATCTAATCCAAACTAATCAAACCCTAATCTAATCAAGTCACTAACCTCAATTCCCAGCAGTGTCCCATCAGCAAGCTGAACCCAAACACCCTGCACCATCCAGCACCGACTCCCAGCCTCAGCCCAAGCTCCAGCCTAATCCCAACACCAGCTCCACTCAACCCCAAATCCCATCCCCTCTCCAACTGTACCCTAAACCATCAGGAAAGCCCAGCTCCTCACCTCCAGCTCGTCCTAATATTCCTTCTATCATTCCAGTTCCAAGGTTTTTCCTCCACCTTCGCTCTAACCTCCCCAACCTTCACTCTAATCTCCCAAAGTCCTCAACAAGTCCCCCAGCCAGCACCTATGCTTTGCCACTCAAACCTCTCCCAAGCTCCCACCAGGATGTCATCCTGGCCCTCAAGCACCAGATGCTCCAAACATCTATCATCACACCACTCTGAAAAAAGAATCAGAGAGAGATATTAACAAGATGATCCTGGGGAAACCTCCCAAAGCAGCAGGAGAGAAGAAAAGGTTTCAAATGCTGCCCACAGTGAGAGGAGAGGGAAAGACAGGAAGCGCATGACCAGGAGCCCAGACCCCGAGAGAGGCTCACATTACCTGATACCACTGGTTCTTCTATGGCCAGAAGGATGGCAAGAAACAGGACAAGAAGTTTCATGGCTGGCACACCTGTGAGGAGGAGGTGAGTGAGCTGCAGCAGATGGAAACAGAGTTCCCTGCAGCAAGACAGAGATGAGCCTTGCTTTTATCAGCAGCGCTGTGGGCAGTGAATTAGAAAAGGAGGGGATTTATTGGAGGTCATCCAGGCCAAAGGACAGTGTGTAGCAGATGTCTGAGCAGAGCACAAGATGAGCGTGTGGGAAACTGGCCAGCACTCGTGCCAGTAAAGGGACAGGCCAATTAAAGCCATTTGGCCTTTGAGACCCACAAAGGAATTATTAATACTTAATAAATATATATCGAGAAATATTCAATTTAAAAATTACTTTGCATTTCTCTGATAAATAGAACATTTATTCAACACATGCACTGGTCTTCTTATTACTTCCTTTTGAATTATTTAGTCAGATATCTGGAAAATTCTACCGGACTGCTGTTGTGCACTTACCGATTTACAAGAGCTCTTCAGTGCTGTTATTATATCAGCTGCCTTGTCATGCTGGGTGACAGTACTCTTCTCCATGATTATGTTCTGCTTTAAGATATAGTACTTGCCTATACATGTTTAAAACATATTTAAAACATAAAAAATACATTAAACAGGCCGGTTGTGGTGGTTCACACCTGTAATCCCAGCACTTTGGGAGACCAAGGGGGTGGTGGATCACGAGGTCAGGAGCCTGGCCTGACCAGCCTGGCCAACATGGTGAAACCCTGTCTCCACTAAAAATAAAAAAATTAACCAGGGGCGGTGGTGGGCGCCTATAATCCCAGCTACTCAGTAGGCTGAGGCAGGAGAATCATGTGAACCCTGGAGGTGGAGACTGCAGTGAGCCGACATCGTGCCATTTCACTCCAGCCTGGGTGACAGTGTGAGATTCCATCACAAAAAAAAAAAAGAGTTATTAACTCTGAGAAGTAGGAGTCGGTGGCAACATAGTGAAGGAGGATTTAACTTTTTCCAGGCAGAAAATTGCTGTGCAGAGCCTAAAAGGAGAAAATTACAAAATGAGATCAGCCCAGATTCATCTTACATTTTTATCAAGAACTGAATGCACGCTAGATGCTGTGCTGGGCAAGCACTTCCCTGTCTCATCTCATTTCATTCTCCTGACAACCCTATGCCTTGAGTAGGAAGGTTCCCCATTTTAGAGATGAGAAAACAGAGCTGAGAAGTTTAAATGGCTTGCCTAGGGTCATGCAGCCTGGGTGACAGAGCAAGACTCCAGCTCAATAGATAATTAATTAATTAATTAATTAACGAATTAATTAATTAACCAAAAGTTACTTCTTCTCAGCTTTCGAACAGGATACATATGTCTAATGTCTTTCGGAACTTTCAATTTGCCAATCTTGTTCCCAGTTCAGGGCCTTAGCAGTTGTCATCTGTTCTCCCTGTAAAGCTCTTCCACCAAATCTGCCCATGAAAATCTCCTGCTCATCATTCCATATCATCCCAAATGTCACCTCCTTGGAGAGGCTTTCCCAGGCCACCTTAGATAACAGTACTCCAACCTGCAGTCACTCTGGACTGTAATAACTGTTTGTGACCTTCATATATGTACCTATTCTTTAAATTTTTATTTTACATGTTTGATCTTTGTCTCTCCACTTAGAATGTCAGAAACTTGGCTTATAACCCCAGTACCCATAACATCACCTGGTGCATTAAGATACTTATTCAGCCATTTTGACTGATATTCTCCCCAAAGAAGAATGATTCCCAAAGACAGACATGGATTTCTTTTTTATGTAAAAGTCTGGGTATACAGTTAAGTGTGGCAGCTTCACCATTCAGCAGGGAGCTAGATTCCTGCTGGCTTGATGCTCTGCCGTCTTCAAGAGGATGCTTCATGTGATGACTATGAGCTGCTCCAGTTCCCACCATTAAGTCCCCATCCAGCCATCAGGAAAGGAGAAATGGAAGTGAAATGCAACACCCTTTTCTTTAAGGACACCATTCAGAAGTTGCACCCCTCAGCTTGGCATGGTTGCCTTGCACCTATAAGCACAGCATTTTGAGAGACCGAGGTGGGTGGATCACTTGAGGTCAGGAGTTCCAGACCAGCCTGGCCAATCTGATGAAACTCTGTCTCTACTAAAAATACAAAAAAAAAAATAGCTGGGCATAGTGGTGGGCACTTGTAATCCCAGCTAATCAGGAGCATGAGGCAGGAGAATGGCTTTATCCCAGGAGATGGAGGTTGCAGTGAACCGAGATCACACCACTGCACACTGCACTCCAGCCTGGGCGACAGGACAAGACACCATCCCTACAAAAAATAATAATAAGTTGCACCCTTCACTTCCAATCCTGTCCACCTCCCAGAGCTCATTCAGACCGTCACACCCAGCTGCAAAAGAGGCTGGAAATATTTTCTTTATTCTAGGCAACCATTTCCAGCTAAAATTTAGGGGTTGTCTTACTAAGAAGGGAAAGAGATACACAGAGGAAGTTCTAGCAATCTCTGACATACCTGGCATTAAATATTAAATAATATTTAATAAATCTCTATAGACAATAAACAATAAATATCACTTAGTTTAATAACTAATTGCAGATAAGAAATAACGTATACATTGAGTACATCTATGAGAAGTGATCTAGTAGAGAAGAAACCCAAGTCCTTGTAACTCCAGGGCTTTGGAAGGCCAAGAGGGGAATCTGCTTGAGCCCAGGAATTCCAGACCAGCTTGGGCAACATATGTGACCTCATCACTACAAAAAAATTTTTTTTTAATTTGGCAGGTGTGGTGATACACACGTGTAGTCCCTGCTACTCAGGACCTGTAGTACCTGCCAAGATGGGAGGATTGATTAAGCCTAGGAGTTCAAGGCTGCAAAACATTCAAATGCTTGTTTTTCTGCATATTTCCCTGCAGCTAGAATATGGACACGTGGGTAGGTTCAGCCAATCAGATGACTCCCATGCTATTTTCTTTTTATTGCATTTTAGGTTTTGGGGTACATGTGCAGAACATGCAAGATAGTTGCATAGGTACACACCTGGCAGTGTGATTTGCTGTTTTCCTCCCCTTCACCCACATCTGGCATTTCTCTCCATGCTATCCCTCCCCAGCGCCCCCCGCACTGTCCCTCCCCTATTCCCCCCAATAGACCCCAGTGTGTAGTGCTACCCTCCCTGTGTCCATGTTTTCTCATTGTTCATCACCCGCCTATGAGTGAGAATATGTGGTATTTCATTTTCTGTTCTTGTGTCAGTTTGCTGAGAATGATGTTCTCCAGATTCATCCATGTCTACAAAGAACACGAACTCATCGTTTTTGATGGCTGCATAATATTCCATGGTGTATATGTGCCACATTTTTTCCAGTCCAATCTATCATTTATGGGCATTTGGGTTGGTTCCAGGTCTTTGCTATTGTAAACAGTGCTGCAATGAACATTCGTGTGCATGTGTCCTTATAGTAGAATGATTTATAGTCCTTTGGATATATACCCAGTAATGGGATTGCTGGGTCAAATGGAATTTCTATTTCTAGGTCCTTGAGGAATCGCCACACTGTCTTCCACAATGGTTGAACTAATTTACACTCCCACCAGCAGTGCAAAAGTTTTCCTATTTCTCCACATCCTCTCCAGCATCTGTTGTCTCCAGATTTTTTAATGATCACCATTCTAACTGGCGTGAGATGGTATCTCAAAGTAGTTTTAATTTGCATTTCTCTGATGACCAGTGATAATGACCATTTTTTCATATGTTTGTTGGCCTCATGTATGTCTGCTTTTGTAAAGTGTCTGTTCATATCCTTTGCCCAATTTTGAATGGGCTTGTTTGTTTTTTTCCTGTAAATCTGTTTGAGTTCTTTGTAAATTCTGGATATCAGCCCTTTGTCAGATGGGTAAACTGCAAAAATTTTTTCCCATTCTGTTGGTTGCCGATCCACTCTAGTGACTGTTTCTTTTGCTGTGCAGAAGCTGTGGAGTTTCATTAGGTCCCATTTGTCTATTTTGGCTTTTGCTGCCAATGCTTTTGGTGTTTTGGTCATGAAGTCCTTGCCTACTCCTATGTCCTGAATGGTTTTGCCTGGATTTCCTTCTAGGGTTTTTATGGTGCCAGGTCTTATGTTTAAGTCTTTAATCCATCGGGAGTTAATTTTAGTGTAAGGTGTCAGGAAGGGGTCCAGTTTCTGCTTTCTGCACATGGCTAGCCAGTTTTCCCAACACCATTTATTAAACAGGGAATCCTTTCCCCATTGCTTGTTTTTGTCAGGTTTATCAAAGATTGTATGGTTGTAGATATGTTGTGTTGCCTCCGATGCCTCTGTTCTGTTCCATTGGTCTATATCTCTGTTTTGGTACCAGTACCATGCTGTTTTGATTACTGTAGCCTTGTAGTATAGTTTGAAGTCCAGTAGTGTGATGCCTCCTGCTGTGTTCTTTTTGCTTAGAATTGACTTGGCTATGCGGGCTCTCTTTTGGTTCCATATGAAGTTCAAGGTGGTTTTTTCCAGCTCTGTGAAGAAAGTCAATGGTAGTTTGATGGGGATAGCGTTGAGTCTGTAAATTACTTTGGGCAGTATAGCCATTTTCACGATATTGATTCTTCCTAACCATGAACATGGAATGTTTCTCCATCTGTTTGTGTCCTCTCTTATTTCGTTGAGCAGTGGTTTGTAGTTCTCCTTGAAGAGGTCCCTTACGTTCCTTGTAAGTTGTATTCCTAGGTATTTTATTCTCTTTGTAGCAATTGTGAATGGCAGTTTGTTCTTGATTTGGCTTTCTTTAAGTCTGTTATTGGTGTATAGGAATGCTTGTGATTTTTGCACATTGATTTTATATCCTGAGACTTTGCTGAAGTTGCTTAACAGTTTCAGGAGTTTTTGGGCTGAGATGATGGGGTCCTCTAGGTATACTATAATGTCATCTGCAAATAGAGACAATTTGGCTTCCTCCTTTCCTATTTGAATACCCTTTATTTTTTTTTTCTTGCCTGATTGCTCTGGCTAGAACTTCCAGTACTATATTGAATAGGAGTGGTGAGAGAGGGCATCCTTGTCTAGTGCTCAATTTCAAAGGGAATGCTTCCAGTTTTTGCCCATTCAGTATGATATTGGCTGTTAGTTTGTCATAAATAGCTTTTATTATTTTGAGATACATTCCATCAATACCGAGTTTATTGAGGGTTTTTAGCATAAAGGGCTGTTGAATTTTGTCAAAGGCCTTCTCTGTGTCAATTGAGATAATCATGTGGTTTTTGTTTTTGGTTTTGTTTATGTGGTGAATTACGTTTATAGACTTGTGTATGTTGAACCAGCCTTGCATCCCCGGGATGAATCCTACTTGATCATGATGGATAAGTTTTTTGATGTGCTGTTGCAATCAGCTTGCCAGTATTTTATTGAAGATTTTTGCATCTATGTTCATCATGGATATTGGCCTGAAGTTTTCTTTTCTTGTTGAGTCTCTGCCAGGTTTTGGTATCAGGATGCTGTTGGTCTCATAAAATGATTTGGGAAGGATTCCCTCTTTTTGGATTATTTGGAATAGTTTCAGAAGGAATGGTAACAGTTTGTCTTTGTGTGTCTGGTAGAATTCCGCTGTGAACCCATCTGGACCTGGGCTTTTTTTTTTGTATGGTAGCCTCTTAATTGCTGCCTCGACTTCAGACCTTGTTATTGGTCTATTCATAGTTTCGGCTTCCTCCTGGTTTAGGCTTGGGAGGACACAGGTGTCCAGGAATTTATCCATTTCTTCCAGGTTTACTAGTTTATGTGCATAGAGTTGTTTGTAATATTCTCTGATGATGGTTTGAATTTCTGTGGAATCTGTGGTGATTTCCCCTTAATCGTTTTTTTTTTTTTTATTGCATCTATTTGGTTGTTCTCTCTTTTCTTTTTTATCAATCTGGCTAGCGGTCTGTCTATTTTGTTGATCTTTTCAAAAAACCAGCTCTTGGATTTATTGATTTTTTGAAGGGTTTTTCTTGTCTCTATCTCCTTCAGTTCTGC